TTTCGCTCTCTGCCTGACGCCTCGAAGCGTTCCTGGCGTCTCTGCTTCAGACGTCGAATGGGGCCCTTGTGTCCCTCCGTCGAACTCGAAGCCTCTAGACCTTCTTCTTCAGATGAATCCTCTTGCATGAGCTTTGAATCAGGATGTTCTTTCCTGAATCTGTCTGTCGCCTTTCGATCGTAGTACTTCGAGATGGAGTCTCCGAACTTCTTCACCATGTTTTGCTTTTGCCCTTCATCCATCTTGTCGAGTTGAGGAAAGACGAGCGGCGCTGGCTCGGGGATCTCGGCCTCGCTCTTTGTTGTACTCGAACCCGAGTGCAGTAGCTTCTTCCACTTGCTCTGTTTCTCGCTGCCTTCTACGGCCTGGGTGATATTGTGATCCAGATCGATGTTCTCCACGACTTCGCTGCTAGACGGCTTGTACTTTACAACAAGGGCATACAAGCCTCGAGGTTTGAAAAAGTTTTCGTTCATGACTTCGAGGTAGTTGTTTTGTTTGTAGTTCACGTAGCCCCTGCGCGACGCCTCAAGCCCCGTTTGCACTGAGAGCGTTACCAGCATTGTGATGGGCGCGAACCCGCCAACGACTGTGTGAGCGAGATCTGCACCCATGACGCCAGCGTTCACGACCCCGAACCACGGGCTTCCTTTGATGCTGTTCTCGAAACCGTCGAGGAACCCCAGCCAGGCGGCTTGATCTATGCCGCATTCTTGTAGGACCGGGGCGTAAGCTCGCACGAAACCGCGGTGTCGAGACTCGGGGCGACGTTGCGGGAGTATGACTGGCATTGGCAGACCATGCTTCTCGCTTCCGAGGTTAGAGGTCTCTGGTGGCGGGTGGTGAACGATGAATTCGGTCAGCATTCCCTCGATGTCTTCAACCGGTACCCCATGCTGATTGCCGGAGGACTGCGACTGAGCTAGCTGGGCTTCATCCAGTGCTCGGGTCCAATCTTCGTCAACGTCGGAATCATCCCCCGTCGCTTGATGTTGCGCTACTGTTGTGTGGCCAGATGCGACTGATTGCCCTGCTTGGACTGGCTGTATGGGCACATTGTTGGTTTTTTGCGTTGCTGACGGTTGTTTCTGATCTCCCTGGAATTTCTTTGCAGCATCGACAGCGCTGCCGACGATTTTTGAGATTGGCCCACGGCGGTTCAGCATGTTGGCAACGGTATCGGCACAGAGAACGCGGTGGACTAAACGATTGAGCTAGCTCTCAGTAGGATGCTTGGTATGTCACTCGAAAGCCGAGAGAAATCCCAGAGAAACTTGCGCGAGACTAGTCATTTCGCACGGCACATTCTACCCGATATAACACGATTATAAAGAGATGGGCATTCCCCCGCGACCGAACGCCTCCATCAGGGACAGCCTCCATGATTTAGAAAGCTGACGAGAGAGTTTAGCGTAGGATTTCAGGCGGGGTAAAGAGACGAGAATCCCTCAAAGGCTGCTGTCTCGGGCGCAAGCTACGCACAACCCTTGCCAAGTCTGAACATGAAGGCATGCCATCGACGAACCAACGCTCATCAGATTTTGGCCTCAGAGGGCCCCCAAGTTACATTGTTTCGTATGCTGTACTGCTTGATAAGAAGTTAATGCAAGCGAGGAAGGCTGCCGCATGTCGTAGAATTGAGTTTGGTCGGAGAAAAGAAGATTGGGGTGGTGCCGCTGATCAGGAACAGCGACTGAGCAAATGAACCCATTCAACAGGGCAGGGTACATGGATCAACGGCTTAGCGCTTACAAGGCACAGCCAGAAGAAGCGATCGCAAAGGCCAGGCACCCAGAGAATGAAGAGACAGGCGGCAGGCAATTGAAGCATGGCAACGACAGGGACTTTGCCTGGCGATTGTCTCGAATCCACGTAGCAGACGGTGTTGAACGCCTCATACTCCTGGTTCCGCGCAATCTTGCGTAAGATTCAGCTCTCAAGGACGAAGAATGAGCTTGTTTGCGTTAATCTTCATGTTGGTTGCACAACCGCGTCATAATTGGGCTTTACCTCCACACAACTGCCATCGGCTATTCTCGTCTCAAACCCCTCTCTGCTTGAGTGACACTAACTTCACAGACTGCCATTGTTGGCCGTGCAATTTCCAGGATTTTTGTCAAGGACTTTGACAAATGAGAGACTCTCGCCGCGTCAGCCGGTGCCATTGACTGGGTCTCAAGCGTCAGAACCGTCAAGACTGAATACTGCACCCAGCAGATCCCCATCCATCACACAACGCCACATATGACAGCCACTGTGGCACTAGCTAAACCTGAATTTCCTGGGGTAACGTAACCGTGTGGCGGGTATCCTTGTGGCGCCCCCTCCTAAATGACGACTGCCAATGGAGGGACATCCCACATCGTGAGTGGAGAGGCCGTTTCCCTGTTTTCAAGGGCGAACCTCCTCGGATCCGTGTGCCGGAGCGCGGCCAAGACCGGAGACAAGCTTCCACTACTGCGGGAGCGGATGGAAGCTCGATCACACATCCCCGCAGTTCACGTCATGAATCCCTCCCTCGCCGTCATGAAGGTGCTTCTCGAACCGAAGTTTTGCGCTCGGAAGCTGAGTCTTTTGCCAGTGGAACTCCACATGAGCTCATAGCAACAAAATTCGGAGCTGAGACATGGCCTGCTGATGCTGCGAAGACGGCGGCAAGACGGTCTGGACTTCTGGGCTAGAGAAGTTGACGAAGGTGACATCACGCTGGTTATTGGACGAGAATGGATGAACATCGTGCGTCGAGAAGCAGTATTTGATGCTCTCTGTCCCCGGCTTAATCGACTCAGAAGAACCCTCCACAATACAATTTGATACCAACAACAAAACACAAGCTACTTTGATACCCCGAAACCCGAGCCTTAAACCTTATACTTTGTTATTACAATAACTCTTTGCTACCTCTACAACATCAATAAGTCAATCAGGAATCATGGGTTTGGGAGCTAAGATCAAGAACGCCCTCCACAGCGACGACCACCCTCAAAAGACCACATACGAGGGCGACCAGCCACCCGGAGCATTTCCCTCCGACTCCACCACAACCGGAACCTCCAAGCCCACAACCGGTGGCTACACCGGAGGCACCACCGGCACTACCGGAAGCCATATCCCTAGTACCACCGGTACCGGCACGCATCACACCAGCAACACCACTACTGGCTACAATGATCCCGATGGAGTTCACGGCCCCCATGCCGGAAGAGTAGCCAACAAGGCCGATCCGAGAGTGGACTCTGACCGGGACCACCGCGACGCGCCCACCTCCGGCTTGACCGGCAACACCCACGGCACCACTCACGGCACAACCACCGGCCATACTGGAGGCTTGACCGGCAGCAACACCGCAGGATACAGCAACACCACCACGGGCTACGATGACCCCGATGGCGTCCACGGCCCGCATGGAGGAAGAGCTGCCAACAAGCTCGACCCCAGAGTCGACTCCGATCGCGACCACCGTGGTGCTCCTACTGCTGGTCCGACTGGCAACAACACCTACGACAACACCACCGGCACCGGCCACGCCGGAGGTCTACACAGCAACCCCCACGGTACCACCGGAGGTGTCGGAGGTGTCGGTGGCAACACCACCACCGGCTACAACGACCCCGATGGCGTTCACGGTCCTCACTCCGGCAGAGCCGCCAACAAGCTGGATCCCAGAGTTGATTCGGACCGCGACCACCGCGGCGCGCCAGGCGCAGGTGTCACTGGCACCCACCGTCCCCATGACTCCGGTGTCGAGGTCGGCCACGGTGTTGGCCACAACAAGCCCTACAAGGGCGAGTACCTCGCCAACGCTGAGCGCGCCAACGCCCAGGACCCCTACTGGGGCGACGTCGGCCGTGATGGCTCTGCTCTCAACAAGGACTTGCCCCTGCGCCCCAATGAATCTGCCGTCGGCCATGGAGGTCCTCAGGCCGTTGGTGGAGGACACTACAACCCCGCGGCGTCAACACACCACGACCCTGCGTCCAGCGTCGACCGTTCTATGGAGGGTCGCGACTTTACTCACCCCCACGGCTCCGGTGCTGGAGTTGGCGGTGCCGGCAGTGACCCCTACAGCGGCGTCCACAGCGCTGCTCACAACCCCCAGGCGGCTTTGTCCGGCGGCAACGTCAATGACCCGTACGACACTCGCATGAGAGACAGAGACATGGGCCGTGAGCGCACCGGACATGGAGCTGCTGGTGCTGGTATCGGTGCTGGCGTTGGTGCTGGAGCCGCCGTGGCTGCTGGCCAGGCTGCTCACAGACATCACCGCGATGATTTGCATGAGTCTGGTCTCGGAGGCAATAACACTGTTGGCGGCGTTAACTCTCCTGTTGGGCACAACACCCACGGTACCCACGGCGGCGTCACCGGAACCCATGGGAGTGTCACTGGCACCCACGCTGGTGGCGTCCATGACCAGCACCGCTCCAGCCTTACCGGCAATGAGCCCGGCGTTCCCAAGACTAGCATGCTCGATCCCTACAACCAGTCTCCTACCGGCACTCACGGCACCACCCACAGCAACGTTGCTGGCACTGGTCTCGGAGGACACACTGGATCTTCCGGTCTGAACCAAGGTACGCACTCTTCTCATGTCCCTGGCACCACCGGCCCGGGACCCCAAGGAATGGGTCCTGACCATTACGGCCCAGGACATGATGGAGCCAAGGTCTTCCACACCTGCACTAAGTGCGGCGAGGACAACGATATCAGCAGATACTTCAAGAAGGATGCTGTTTACCGTATGAACTAAGGAATTTGTTTGATGAAAGCGAGCACTGTACCTATACCTTGTTGTATTCATTAGTTAACTCATAATGATCATGATCTTAATGGCACTACTTCGATCCTTTTCCTTCTCCTCAATGTGCACGTACAATAGATTGAGTCGTCCAACTCAAAATAGTGCGCAATGGCTTTGCTCATCTATGCCACTATTCGCCGCGTTCTCGCAAAATTATCCACTGAAATAGATGTCCATATTCAATCGGATCCTAAACTGCTTACCACCGTTTCCTCCAGCGCATTCGCATGTCTCTGTCCGGCGGTACAGCTCCCGCACCTACATACGCCTTGTCATTCGTAGGAGGCCTTTCCGAATGCGACCCATCAAAGTTGACCCAATCTTCAAACTCAATATCAAACCGAGACGCAATCATAGCGACAGCCAGCATGATTTCCTGCTTAGCAAAGAAACGCCCTGGGCACATGGACACACCACCACCTGCAACACGTTTATTAGCCAGGGCCATGGAGATGACTGGGTGTATACGGCTTACCATATGGGAAGAAGTCGCTCGGTCTTCCGGCTACGGCAAACTCCTTGACTCTCTGAAGTTTGCCATCCTCATCCTCTTTCTCGACAAATTTGATATGACGTTCCGCCCAGAATTCCGACGCAGGGTGCCTCTCGACACCCCACACTGACTCTTCACGATGCCCAATCTGCGTCGGTGCCTGCACCAAAGAGCCTTTACTCAGATGATACCCATCCAATTCCATTGGTTCCATAACTTCACGAGTGATGTTGATGGACACGTGCATTCGTAGTGTCTCCACGTAGATGGACTGAAGCAAAGGCAGGGTAACTAGTTTTGCCACATCAAAGGTTCGCTTCCCAGTCTCGGGATCAATGATGGACACCGAATCAACCTCTTGGCGGACCGCCTGGAAGAGTGACCGATCCTTTATCACTTCCATAACAGCCCAAGCCGTCTGGGGCACGGAATTCGAGTTGATGCTACACGGAAGTTTTCACGTCAGTCAGGTTACTTCCACAACCAGAGAGAAACTGCGTTTCATACCCTGTGATACTTCCAATGTACATCCCAGCACGCGATTGAAGCGAGAATCCTTTCTTCTCCCAAAATTTTGAGTGCTCACGTTGGAGTCTCGAGCCAAAGATCGGTTCCCAGTCCGCGTCGGCATCGGGCCCGTTCCAGTCAAATTTGGCCCAGGCATCAGTCAAAAAGTCTGACATCATGGCTAGGGTTTTGCGCTGAATGTGTTTTGGTTTTGGATTAATCCAAGTTGGAAGGCCATACATGAGCTGCATCGCAATCGTGTCGAATTCCCAGAAGATGTCGACGAATCCCGGATGGTCCTCAATCAGCTTTCGCCCTGCAAGCGAGACCGTCGCTGCTTCTGCCATATTCTTTTTAAGATACTTGAACAGTTGCAAGGTTTCCCACTCATCACGGGACTGCTGGTCGAGCTTCTCGCCGAAAAAGGTAATGAACGACTCCGCCAACTTCGCGGTAGCCTCGGCGCGAAAGAGGTGCTCGTTGAAGACGTGATGCAAGCCGACCCAGAACCTCTGATTCTCAGGCATGCTCTCAGTTCCCGCAGCCGGGGTCTTCAGACGACCAGATCTATCGTTGTACATTATCGCCACGTCCTCGTCAGTCATCCCTTGCACCCGCCCATTGACCATGACGATGAACTTATCCGAGCTGAGCGTGTTATTCGAGCTGTTGCGGAACAGCTTCTGCACATTGTGAGAGCCTGCAACCAGGTACACAGTGTCGGCGCCGAGGTTGAACTTCACCACGCTGCTTTTCTTCAGTGCTTCGGTGGCACGCTCGAGGAATCTACTGTTGTCGGTGATGTACTGATATGTGTTTGAGACATAGGGGATGAGACCCGGCAAGCTCGGGGGCTCGTTTGCCTTTGGTCGCAAGACATGGCGCAGGAAAGCTATGCCAATAATCGGTAGCAACAGCCAGGTGATGATTGGTGATGTCGCATGTTGTTGGAGCGACTGCAAGAGTCCTTGGTTGCTGCCAAATGACTCGGAAGTTTTTGTCGAAGCCATCGCCAGCTGTCTAACAGGCAACTACCCTAAAGATATGTGAGGCACTTGATGATGATAAAAGAGATGTGGCGTCGGTGAGGGGTAGAGAGACCGTTGTTTTTGTCTCGGAGGCGCACCATTCCATCATCCGAAGTTTGGCTTTGAGTTATCCTGCCGGTGCGTATCGCTGGATTGGGAATGTTACACTAGGCTCGTTCAACTCGTCATGAACATGGATAGCCAAGGTTTGAGCTGAAGGATCGAAGAAAACATGCATATAACTGGCCAATCCTCAATGAGGGGTTCATAAGCCAGGAACGCGTGGACAGTCACCGCACATGGCAAACACAACGGCATCTTCACTCAAATCATCTCGCTTGTTTCTGTTTCCGATACGGCCAGTGAGGTGCGCACGAAGGATTGCGCTAATTCAGGGTGCACCCAGCCCGCGTCTTTATGAACGAACGGGTGTAAGCGCGTAAGCATCTTCCCCTTGATGACGTCCCAAGACCCTGGTCGAGCGGTTATCGTGCATCACATCGCATCCCATATTGTTGCGAATATCGTCTGATTTCTTGTGAGGCTCGTTGAAACCCGTCTATGCAATGTCCAGAGTCTTCAGGTGCTCGGTGTTGGTCGCGATGCTTTGCTCCAAAGAGATCCAACCCGGCCTGCCCAGCCTCTTCAGCAGGCTCTCTGCCCTCGCAATGGGCTTCACTGTCACAGGATATTCATCATTGTGGAAGTTATCGGCAAACTTCCTGCCCGGATTCTGCTTCCGAAGGATATCCAAGATGATGTCCCAGTTCATTGGGTAGGCAAATGCGAAGATGCGTTCACCCTCGACATCAGGCAGAAGAGCCGCCGCAACGTGTAGGGCAGCATCATCCTCGACGTCGATAAAGAAGTGGGGAAGATGCCAAAGCTCAGGAAGTGTCTTTCCCTCAAAGAGTTCGACAATAAGGCCGAATGACGACGAGCCTCCAGTTTGAGACGGGTCGATGCTTCTTCCAAAGTTGAAGTCTGGAACAACTAGCAGAGAGGATGAGAGTAAGCACGTGCGGTCGTGTCATGAATGAGGCTTCTTCTATGTTGCCTCAGAGAGTATTAAACGCCGACTTACTCGAGTTCACCACGATATCTGGCCGATTGGATTTATTCTCTTCGTAGAACTTCCAGATGGTTTGCTCTTGCTCCATCTTACTCGCGCCGTAAATCGCTCCGCCGTGTTCAACACCCCAAGGAGGAGGTGCCCAAGCCAGTTCCTTGGCGTCATGACCAAATGTGTCCACATCCACCGTCTGACCCTTCAGGGCAAAGAAGTTTTCCTTCTTGAGTGGCATGAGAGTTGAGGCTGATGAAGTTAGAATGAACCGTTTCATGTTTGGTTCCTTGTATGCTGCCTCGATAGCGACCATCCCGCATTTCACTGCACCTCCAATCACTTCGGCTGGGTCGCCGTTGAAATCGATGACGGTAGCAGTGTGCACGAAAATTGACGCCCCTATGATATTAAGTCAGATGATCCTACATGAAAACGGTGCACTCGAAAGTGCATGCATGAAGCAGGGCGGGTTCTCGGAGCTTGACGCCGTGCTCGAGGGCCACAACAGCACTTACCTTTGATAGCCTCATCATACGCGCCATCAACCTGCATATCAGGAACCACATGTAGTTCAAACTTCCCTACCCCGTACTTCTTCTCAAAGTGTGGGACAAGCCAAGCACTCTTCTTCGGGTTACGGACCGTTCCGCGGACTTTATGTCCATATCGAATGAACTGGTCTGCGATGTGAGACGCAATGTAGCCATTAGCGCCAGTGATCACGGCAATTGATCCCTTAGGGACAGCAGGGTTCTCAATGAACGACATGCTCAATTCGGTAGTGGCAACTTGGCGTGTGTCTGTCTTGTTGCTTGAGTTCAGATGCCGTAACGTATAGCTGCGTTTAAATACGTATAATGTGGTGTGAACAAAAAGAAGGGGAAGTTGAATTCGAGGATAGTTCAGACGGCATATTCTTATATGATCTGGATTAGCATATATCATAGAGACTTTGCCGTTGAGAAATGTCTCGTTATGTGGCCGGCCGGAGAAAACAAACATCTCCGTCAAGTGGGTCGGTGACTCGGGCTCGACGTGATGCCGCCGAAACATGGTACGGAGGCAGTGGGTTTTGTCCGCCGTCACCTTGAGCCGCAAGTCAATAAAAGTTGACTCGGGCGCCAGTGCTGAACTAGTCTGAAGCATCATGGTTCCATCGATCTAACCTTAATAGTTTACAACCTAACGAGGAATTGTTGGATGTTGTGTGGGTTGAAAGCCTCGAATGCTGCTTGTTCCGATGAAAGCTATCATCTTCTTCTTAGACGAGTCCACAAGTATCCATTCTCAACGCGTCGACCATCCGTACAAGTGTTGACTCGAACCTCAATATGCTGCTCAGAATTTGAATAAAGTGGATGTGAAGTCAGCAACTTGTCTTGGCCCCTTACTTGTCATTAGAAAGCGAATATTGTTGGGTTTCGCGGAAACAAGTTAGATTTGACCTCAGCGCCAATTTGCACGCAGAAATTTTTGTCTCCCTCCTTCAAAATATTGGTGATCTCCCGCCATCATTCTAAGCAGGCGGAATGAGCACGATGCTACAATGGTGTGTGGAGGAAATGCACCAGAAGCTGCGTCATGATGCATGCAACCCTTGCAAAGCTGAACCCTAGCTGAGGTTAGCTCAAGCAGCGTCCTAAGTAAGCAAGGCTGCGAAAAATATGGCTATCGCAAAATCCATCAGCACTAAATCTATCGAGCTTCAATTATCACTGACCGCCGCGATGGGTTGGCCTCTGAGCCTTGCGTAGCGGAAGCCATCGGACCTACCAACGAACGGCTTCCAGCGCCAAAACATTTCATGCTTAGTAACTCTCCCTTGCCGCCGCAGACATGGCCACCAAGCCCAAGCAGATCCGTTTTGAAGAGGATGGGTTCGATGATTGGTCAGACTCCCCGGAATCGCCTTCCCGGTCACCAACGCCCAGTGTCAGTTCCTTTCAACGTGACTCTCGCCCAAAACGTGGCACGACGCGGATTCCTTCACGGATTGTTTCCAAGCGCGCATTGATACATCTTGGATACTCCTTTGCCGAAGATGGAGACACCATTATTGTTCAGCTGGCGCTCGGACAGAATCACATCGAGGAACTTCTTGAACTCAGCAACAGAATCCGAAGCTCAGATCAAGGGACTTCTGAAGTCGGCGATAGCGGTGAGACGGGCCCCCGAGATAAAGATCAAGGCTTTGACTGGATCAACGTCAATGCCCCTGATACAGAGACGCCGCATCTAGAGACGGGAGAAATCGGAGACTTCTCTGGGAACGAGGATGAAGAGTCGACGCTAGATGACACGGATTGGGACTGGCACAATCTCGAAGGTCCAGTGATCTACTCAGGGGTTCTAAATCTGAACAGCACAAAATCGTCCATGGACAATGACATGAACTCTACTGCCGGAAAGCTTCTGGCTTGGAATCAAGAAAAGTCAGATCTCATTAATGGAGCTAAGACGGAGCTCAATACAGCGTATGCAGCAGAGTTCTATATGGATCGAGTCGGCAACCAAAAGATCACTCTTGCCTGCCCGGAAGACTACGAGTTTGGGGGTACAGATGAATCCCTTGTTCGGTTAAGATGGCTGTGAGAATAACCCAAATCATGAGGCAAATGTCAAAACTGACAAAGAAATACCTTAGACACGTACAGTCCGAGTCCTTGAATGTTGCGACTATGGAGGTAAGCTTTGAACAATCGTGAGCAACTTCACAAACACAGAAGCGTGGTCACTGACCGACAAGTAAAGACTCTGATATCAGACTGTCCATATATATCCCAATCACTTAGGCTAGTAGCACTTACAGTTCTCAAAGAAGTCACTGCGAAATGTGAGAGATCTTCAGAAAATGGCTCTTACCTCGAACCTGGCTCAATGATCCAATACATTGGGAGATACAACAGCTCACTTGGGGTCTATGCAGACGAAGACGCCTCTGATACCGAACCTGTAGTCTTCATCTCTTCACCTCATCTTCTTCTTACCGACAGGCGCTCAGCCAAAAAATTCCCCGGGAAGCACTATATGAGGAGTCTTCGAGAAGTTCTCTATGGCTATGACGACGAAACACAGCCCAATAATGACTCTCGAGGACGAAACTTCAAGCTCGACGAGGATGGACCGACCAAATTGAAGGTTCCGCAAATTTGGACCCTAATAGTTGGTGCAGGTAAGCTTTCCATTTACTAAATAAGGCACTCGCTTACACTTCCTGACTATATCAGACCTGATCGTCACCTTCTCAGAACTCTTGTCGCCAGAGATACAACAAAATCTGATCAAGATTGACCGGACGAAATCATCTGCAGGACTTTACACCGTCAGGCTCATTAACGAACAAGACATGTGTCGGTATCATGTTGTCGTTAAAGCCGATTGGAAATATGCAGTGAGTTCACGGTTGACACCAGCTTCATCCTACTAGGAATTTTACTAAGAGTTGGAGGACTTCCTCAAGCATGCGGTGGCACTGGCACTTAAGGGGCAAGGTCCTGTAAATGCAGCTGCTTACGTGCTAGTCAACGATTATTGGGGCATAATCACAGCAGATATCTGGCTGAACTTACTTGCGAGCGAGACGATCGAGGACTATGTCTTCGGAATCCGAGAGAAACACGAGGCGCAGCGGAGACCCAATGAGGAATTCCTTGCCCTGTCGGAAAAGCTCCTCACTGCGGGGAGCAGGAGCAATCTGGGCAGCCGCAGAGCGTCGCGCCGGAGGTAGGATATGAATGAGATCTTACGTTTTTGTGCGCCATATGTACTGATGATTCTCCACCATTCACCTAGTTCATTCAGGTCCGACTCGAGAGCCACAAACCTGAATCCGATCGACATGGATATGCAGATGGTACTGCATCCCGGTATGTGGGAATATGGTGGTGACTCTCCGAGCCCTTCAGAAGACGGGTTAGACCAGGTAGGAAGCGACACGTTTGAAACTTCAACCCTGTCATTTGACTCACACTTGGGCGTTGATAATTCATCACTCGATGGCACTGTTGACTTGACTACATCCATGTCGGAAACAAGCTTTAGGATGAGAAACATGGCCAACTTTGAGTCATCTGTCTCGCTTGAGGGTGCTGAAGCCCCGAGGCTCTTCAAGCTTAAAAAGGAAACAGAAGAATCGGATCAGACGAGTCAAACAGTACGTAATTACATCATTTGCATGACGAGACGAAGCTGACAATGGTTACCTCGTGCAGACTGGTAGCCCACGATTACAGCCTGGCCAGCCATATGTCGAGGTTGTTGAAGAAAGAAGATTTACTCTCCCACGAATTCACAGACAAACAACTCGATCTATGTCAACGAGGAGTTTGAGATCGAATCTCACGTCCGACGTTCCTGTATCACGTCATAGACGACGTCGAAGCCGTTCAAGAACTCCAAGCTTTACTTATGCCCGCGAATCTCCTTTAGAAGCAGAGCCACTTCCATCTTGGCTCACTGATCAGGAGCAGTTCAGAAGAACACGCAGTGACGCAAGTTCTTTCAATGGCTCGTGGACCAGACAAACTCCCGATCGGGGATTTGGAACAAGTTTTCTCTCCACAAGCTTACCGCCACTGGATCTAGGCGATCTCAACTTTGTACCGTTTCTTGCCTGGAGACTAACATGGGACGACGACAAGAGATCACAGTCCGAGATTGAAAAGACCCTTACTCAGCTACTGGGTAATCTGAATGCGACTATCGAGTCGGATAGAATGGGAAAATGGTACAAGGCTTCTTTCGAATGTACCAAGGGCGAGCTTACGCAGCGGCTAGCTAGCATGCTACAATTATCTCCTCCCAAACCAACTGGAGAGGCAACTGAGGGCGTGGCGCAGACTAACTCGAGGCCGGACGTCAATCCAGGCTCAAACTCTGTAGTTGACGCCGATCTACAGGAACCAGACCTAGAGACCAGCATTGAACATGAGGGGTCTACTGGAAGCCTTGTAGCTCCAGCGTCGACGTTGTTTGGGTCTACCGAGAACGAAGAAGATGAGTTGGACCCGAAGGTTGAACCCAACACACACTTCGGCCACCCTATACACAATTCATCAAGCGAAGATCTCCGATCTGGTAATGATCTTTGGAAACTGATGGATTCCAAAGAGGACCATGAATCATTCCTCCTGTCGAGAATATTTAGCGTTTCTCAAAGTATGCTCAGCGCCTTTCTTCCCGACGAGGGGCGTCTCGTCCATCATCCGGTCTGTAAACGATACTGGGGCTCAGTCGACGCAATATTGAGGGTGAGGGCTTAAAGCAAAATGCAAACGTTAGTGTCTAAACTAACACCCTTCAGGGGCTTCAGTGGTCGATCGATGAGATGAAAGGAACGGATCAGCTTTTCTGGTTTATAACACGGCCTACTACCCCCTTTCCGCCAGGAGAGTCAGCCTCAGTTTCAGGCTCAAGAGCTCTAGGCGATTGCGATGAGTGCGACAAGGTGAAACGATACTTGTCACCAGAAGAAGCACTCGACCATTGGCACAAGGTTCACATGAGAACTCCATGTCTGTACCAAGCGAGAAGGGACCGGGTATTTGATGATCCCTGTTTCGTTTGGATCCGCCGCCATACAGTCGAAGAATCCCGGACTGTCAGATCGAAGGAAGCTCCTAGGAACGAAGTGGTTTCGTGTCTAGAGCTATTCTATGAAGAGTTACTAGACATGGTTGACCGGACAGAGGAGCTGCACAAGCTGGTCATGAGCGTGACTAGCCTGGGAGACTCGGTCAACTGCCATGACAGCCGACCTCATCTGCCCAATAGCCTAGTTGAGGCCTTTGAGCGGATCGTTGGCCTTTTCGTACTGAAAGCCAAGGAGATTTCCTGGATGAACAGACTCACTGTCACTCCTGATTCGTTATACGGCCGTCATGCTGAGCGACGCTTGATGGATCTCAAGAGGAATGCGGCAGCAATCTCAGAGCGTGTTCGCAATCACCTCGACCGAGCGAAGGAGGACATCATCCTATTGGGAACCAGTAGAGGTGACATGGACAGGATCATTATCGCACCAATAGGCCCCGAGTTCCTGGCAGTTGCGCTGATCAGCAATCTGCAGAATAACATCTCCAAGCGAGGCACCAACGAAAAGGTCGATCTCATCAGTCACTACCGGAACTACACTGCCAAACTCCGTTTCAACACCAACCGAAAGCCGAAGCGGCAGGCTTTTGTAGAGATCCATACTCTCGAAGAGGAGTTGGAGGCTTTGCAGATGGTGGTCGCTTCGCAGCAAGGACTATTGAGGGCGTACCAGAGGCTCTTTTCCCCGTTAAATTTCAAGTACCCCACGACCGACTGGATCTACTATAAGGAACGAAAATCTCTGTTCAGACTCGAGAGCAAGTGCGTGCGCAGACAGCAGCGACGCTTGGCGGAGCGCGATAGGGCGCTTGGAGTTCTTCGGAAGAAGGTGAGGGTGTTGAGAGACGAGACGAAGCAGAGAATCGAAGTCCTTGACGAGGGCCATGGAAAGGCGATTCGGGTGTTTACCATAGTTACCTTGTTCTTCTTGCCATTGTAGGTCAACTTTCACCTTGAGTTGTTGAACTTTTGGGGCTGATCACAAGATTTAGGTCATTCGTCACGAGCTTTTTCGGAATGAATACGACCGACATCAGAGATACCAACTATGACCAAAAGATCTTCTGGATCTCGGCCCTCCCCGTCACGTTTGGGGTCATAGGGTTAGCATTTCTGTATGGCTACAAGTGGGATATGATCGCGGGATGGGCAAACAGGACGCTGAGATCGGCCGACAAGAGTACAGCCCCCCATGATTTCTTGAATGAGGAGATACCGACTTGGACGAGTACGGCGGAACCAAAAGATACCTGGTTGCCAAATCATGGACGAGCCAGCGTCACCGGGTGGAGATATCGAATGTCGTATCTATCCGCACGGCAGCGGCGGCGAAAGGGCAGAGTTCCTAGGAAGAAGACGGACGATAGTCTCTTTCGGCCATAGCATTCACGAAGCAGAGGCAGTTTCTAGGTTGAGGTAAAGCGGGATGCTTGCTATGGTCTCGAATAAAAAACTGAATGGACATGGTATCTTTAGCGTGCCGCAGGTGGCTTCTTCGTATCCTCCTCTGGTTGCTCGCGTTCTTGGCCATCGGCATCGAACAGGGTTTCCTGAGCTACACAAGACGTCAGTCAGATTATCACCACCAATGCAGGCGAGCGACTTACCACTCCAGAGCTCAGCATAGAGTCCGCCCCTGTCAATAAGTTCACGATGGGTACCCATCTCGGCTACGTTGCCCTCCTTCAGTACGATGATGAGGTCCGCGTCGAAAATGGTGCGCAGTCTGTGGGCTACGAATACACTGGTCCGTGCCTTTTCACGAAGAATGCTGTTAATGTTGAGCATAAGAGCCTGCTCGGTGTGGGTATCCAACGCGCTGGTGGCCTCATCGAAGAAGAGCAGAGGCGGGTCCTTGAGAAGGAGTCTGCTGACGGCCAGACGCTGCTTTTCTCCGCCGGAAATCATCAAGCCACGCTCTCCCACCTTCGTCTGGTATCCATCGGGGAACCGCTCAATGATTTCGTGGATGCGTGCGCGCTGAGCGGCGGCGATGACGCGCTCCGGGGGTGCTGACATGTCGCCATATCGGATGTTGTGCTCGATGGTGTCGTTAAAAAGCGGAGTGTCCTGGGGAACAACGCCAATGGCCCGGCGGAGAGAGTCCACCTGGACTTGGCGAATATCCTGATCGTCGACAAAGATGCGGCCAGACTGCGCGTCGTACGAACGGAAGAGGAGTCGGAGCAAGGTAGATTTTCCGCAGCCGCTAGGACCGACGACGGCGACCTTCTTGCCAGCCGGGATGGTAAGCGACAGGTTGCGGAGGATGGGGCGATCGGGGTGGTAGCCAAAGGTGACGTTTTCGAATCTAATTTGTCCACCCTTGGACAGAGCCAAGGGTTTGGCGTCGGGCGCGTCCTTGATGGAGACGTTGACCTTTTGCAGGTTGAACAGTGTCTCCATGTCGAGCAATGACTGGCGAAGCTCACGGTAGACGGAACCAAGGAAGTTGAGGGGTACGGAGAGCTGGAACACGAGCTGGTTGACCATGACGAGGTCACCGACAGTAAGCGTGCCTTGGGCAACACCGTTAGCAGCCAGATACATCATGGCTGTCAGCGCCGAGGAGAAGATGATGTTTTGTCCACTGTTGAGGAAGGCTAGCGAAGTTGCGACTTTGATGGAGCTCTTCTCGTAGACCTGGAGGGCCTGATCGTATCTCGCGACCTCGAACTTCTCGTTGTTGAAGTACTTGACAGCCTCGTAGTTGATCAGCGAGTCTACGGCAACTGTCGATGCCTTGTTATCGGCCGCGTTTGCTTGTCTCCTGAACTTTGTTCTCCAAGCTGTCGTCCAGATGGTGAAGGCCGTGTATCCAACCATGGTGAGTACCGTAATGGCGGCGAACTTGGCGCCATACTGGTACGTCAGGATACCGCAGACCATCGAGATTTCCAGTGCAGTGGGGAGAATGTGGAAGACCATGCTCGTCAGCAAGAAGCTGATGCCCTTGGTACCGCGATCAATCGCCCTTGTCAGTCCACCAGTCTGCTTGGACAGATGGAAGCTGAGGTCCAGCCGCAGCAAATGATCAAAGACGTTGCAAGCGACTCGCCGGATGGCCTTCTGAGCAACGGAAGCAAAGACGGCGTTTCGGAGCTCCTGGAAGATTGTGGCGCCTATCCTCGTCGCACCGTATGCCAAGATCATACTCCCCGCGATTGTCACCGCCGTGCCGCCAGTTGCGCCAAAGTCGACATTCATAGAATCCACGATGCTCTTGAAGTAGAAGGGAACCTGCACGTTCAGGACCTTTGCGCCAATCAACAAGGAAACAGCCAGTCCGACGCGGAACTTTGTGCTCAAACTGTCCTTGGGCCACAAGTATCGCGACATCTCCTTCATGATGGCCCAGTCGGCCTTGCGCTGCTCCTGTGTAGACTTTTCTGGCGTTGCAAGAGGATCGACGGCCGTACTCTTCTTCGCCTTGGCAGGTTCTGCCTTGGAGAGCTGTGCCGTGGTCTTGTCGGCGCCATTATCGATCTTTGCCGTCGTCGGCGGCTTGGGTTGGTCGCGTCTCGAAGGTGCACTCGTTTGGAAGATGCGGATGGGGGCCCGGGGGCTTTGAGGAAGCCATGCCGGTCGGTAGAATTGGGTGTGGGAGATGCCTCGAGGGCAGGCCAAAGGAGCCTTGGTGACGGCTCGGATGATCATCGTAATCGTGCCCTGCGCCGCAACTCGATCATCTTCCTCGTGGGGTCTGCGGTGAGAGACGTGTCAGCGAATGGCGGGGTGAAGGGGGCTGAGCCGAGCTATCGATAAACGATCCGATCACGGGCATAGGTCGGCGGAGATTGGCGCAACTCACCACAATTGAAGAGTTCAGACAGCAAACATGAGGCCAATCGTGGTTTCCGGATGATGCGGGAGGGGAACGTCAACCGGATTGTACGTGGTTGGGTGTCAAACGCGGCGATGATGCACAACGAGGCGTAAAAGTCGCAAGCACCGGGCTCGGCATTGTCGAGCGCCTCGGCCGGGATGATGCAATCGCCGGCGCCTAAGGCACCTTGAGAGCCCGCCCGATTGGCTCCATACAGGCACACCGAGCACACCGAGCACAACAAGGTGCGCAATTTCTTACCGAGACTCACCAGTCACGGACCAAGGTCTGCGGGCACACCGAGAATGCTCACCGATCATTCCCGTGGCAGAATAGGAAGAAGAACCAACCTAACTCAAACACGCGCCTTGTGAAAGAGCTTTGATGGTATGAATTATTCTTTCTGGCGCTTATGGATCTTTAGGCCATAGAATTCAAATGCATCAACTCAGCACTGGCTCTGCTCAGCACTAACAACATCGCGGGCCACAAGTCTAGGTAGAGTGCAAAATATGCGAAAAGGTGAGCGCCAACGCAGTGCAGGTGACGTATGCATCGCCGCTCAAGGCATTCGTGCTCCTTAAAGCATTCTCAAAATCGCCAAGCTTCGGTTATCGCCCTTGAAGCGGGCCGGGGGGCTAGATTTTATGTCCGGCCGATGCGGCTCGCCCGTTCTTAGAGTAGAGCCGTGCCTAAGTTTTAGTTCATCGCCTGCGCGGCCGCCCTCTTCTAATTCTAGAGTCGGATCCTAGGACGCATGTTCGGGTTCACACGCCGTTCATCCGGTCCAAGGCGGTGCTGTGGCTCAGAAGCTTTCAATGTGTAACAATCTGCATAACAGTCAACAGTTATCACCAACGTCAGGGGCTCCGGAATGGTTGTGCCGGCGGGACTCTCTCCAAGCCGATTAGGAACTTTGGAAGTGAAGCAGCGGCATGGCGGCGACTCCTGTCAAAGATTGAGTGGGGGGTACCATGTAAAGTTTTGATTGTTGATGTCGGCCTCGCCCGCCCTCTTATGCCTATGTCTCGCCATCGACTCACTGTCACCCTATCATCAGCCCCTCGGACGCACCCAAAGCTTTGCCGCGTAACCACATGCACTGGTCTAGATATCCAGCCGTAGTGGGCAGACCGTGAGGTATCTCAACGCCTCTGGCTGGGCTGACGGATCAGCTTCCATCAAGATCCGAGATTTGGAACTCAAAGAGTCCAACACTTCAGCTACCATTGTCCATCTGATAACATCGCCAAGCAAAATGGCGCACTTGTGAATTATGATTGTGATAGCCCAATGCTACCATCCACGTGGTTTAGCTCGCAGATGTCAAGATCGCCTCCGGGATCTGCGAGCAGAAAAATACCCCTTTTAGAACATTGCGCATTCTAGCCCGGTAGCCCCCAAGGGCGAGGCCGCTTCTTTTAGTTCCCTTTCCCAAGTCCATGGGCTCCGATTGCAGAGTTTCTAACTTTCTAGTGCGTCGAGCAGGGAATAGCATTATTCGAGGTCCCTCTACGGAGACAGCCACGCGTCGCCCACGTAGAGTTCGGATTTCCCGGTATGGGTCCCGGGTTTTCCGCTGCCCTGGAAAAGAATTCTCGCATACATTTGACCCTGGGAAATCGGAGTCTCCATGATAAAGACACTTAAACGCCATTAGAGATGTGGCTCAGATGTGGCCCGCTTCGCAGCCTTAATTTATCGTGAGTCTCCTGGCGACGCGCGATATCGCCTCCCGCCGCCGCTTACAAACTTCAACACCAGAGCTGTGATAGTAAACAGCTCAGCGTACAATAGTCCTCAAATCGTTAGGAAATATACAGAAAATATAATGAGCTTTGATAATTCGAATGAATATGATTTCGACAATACCTACGTGAATTCTGTTGTCAATGAACAAGACCTGTAAGAATAAGGCCGAGATCTGAGCCCGGTGTCCGGGAGCATCCCCCACATGCCGGGTCGTGGAACTTCGCCGATGGATGGGGCTCACCGTGGATCATCATCACCACGAACTACGGAGGTAAACTCGGGACGTCGGCGCTATCGCCCCATCGGCCACGCAACGATGACGGCGGAGCATGAAACTGCAATCCATAGGAAACAGGAGCAAACAGGAGGAAACATGGGAAAACATGGAAACACAACGTTGATATAAGTTCAGACGTTTCGCCAAGATGTAGACTTGAGATGAACACCCATCAACCAGTTTCATTCTTTTGCTTCAACCACTATTAGACATTCGCTTTTCTTGCCCAGCATGAAGGTTTCTGCTTCTGCGGGCGCGCTCGCCGCTCTTTCTTTCGCTTCTTCTGCATTTGCTGCCTCCAACTCTTCTTCCACCCTCACCAACGCCATTCTCGCCGACGGATATGGTACGTACTTACATCTCTTATAAGTGAAGTTTTTCACTTATACCTAACCTGTCATCAATAGTCTCCCTCGGCCGTTTCGACGATGCCTACCAGAAGGCCAAGGCCTTTGTTGCGACTCTCGACACCGCCGCCAAGGTTTCCATCATCACCGGCCAAAGCGTTACCGGCAACGCCACCTGGAC